ACGGATTGTCTGCTTTTTTGTGACAATTACCTCGTATGAATTCCGGAACAATTCTCTCCACGTCAAGCGCAAGTTCAACCTAAAACAAGAGCAATCAGTGATTGTAAAATTCAGCGGTACCAACCATATAAAATTAAACTAAATTAAGGTTTGATTTTATTTAAACACAGTATAACCAATGAAACAGAATCACTTTTTTCCTGGGAAGACTTCTAAATTACAGCATACATTTAATATAAATATACAGTTAAACATACATGGCTCCTTGGACCAGAGATAAATGGTTCAATAGGACTCCTAGACCAGAGATAAATGGTTCAGTAGGACTCCTAGATCCCAGATAAATGGTTCAGTAGGCCTCCTAGACCCCAGATAAATGGTTCAATAAGACTCCTAGACCAGAGATAAATGGTTAAGTTGGACTCCTAGACCCCAGATAAATGGTTCAGTATGACTCCTAGATCCCAGATAAATGAGTTAGAATTACTATGTAAAATAGGCAAGGTGCAAAACAAAATGTAGAGCTACAGAAATACTTCAAAAACTGAAGTCAAAGGACAAGTATAAGCTCACCATAGAGCTAATAGGAGAGACATCAACACAACAGAACAGTGTTATAGTTGAAGAGCTAGTTTTAGAGTTTTAGAGGTCACGCATTCATTATTCAGTATTGTCATGTGATGTGTTTGAATCATTTTGTGTTACACATCCTTACCATGTACAGAGCAACACCACCATCAGTATAGATAATGTTGGGACAACAATAACATGTTAATTACTCTATTTAAAAAGTTCATTCAAGTGATAATGTATGGCATGCTATTAAACGTAATCCTATCATCTCATGAATCTGGTTAAAACTCAATGTAACTCTAATACTATATAGTAGTAACTGTTGTAACATACTGCTCAGCCAAAAAGAGAGAATTTCTCTTTCGCTCAGTCAGTTGAGCGTAAGATTTGGCCAAGGAATTACGTACCTGCATAGCCATCCTCTTGAGTGCAGCCTGTTCCTGTACTGCCTTGATATCATCTACAGCCAAACCAACCTACAATATTCAAAGATCAATAAATATCTATCTAAACTCACTATTTAGTCGACAAGAAATCAAAGGATATCTAATCAAATGACTGACAGTGTTAAAACATCAAAAGTCAAATATCCAGTCAAACCAACCTTAAGTGTTAAAATACCAAAGGTCAGACATTCCACTAAACTGACCAACTAAATTAAAATACCAAAGGTCAGATATTTAGTCAAACTGACCTACAATGTTAAAATACCAAAGGTCAGATATTGAGTCAAACTGACCTACAATGTTAAAATACCAAAGGTCAGATATTGAGTCAAACTGAACTACAATGTTAAAATACCAAAGGTCAGATATTGAGTCAAACTGAACTACAATGTTAAAATACCAAAGGTCAGATATTCTGTCAGATTACAGGGTAGGCTACTCACCAGTAAGTTCATGATGATGATGGACATGATGATCATGAATACAACAAACAAAATGTAGGTCACTGTATCCTGGTAAACTTTCTCGGTGTGATCGGCATGGTTTCCATTGAAAATGGAATCAAACTCAAATTCACCAATCATCATCACAGAGGTCTTCATTAAAGCCTGTCCAAACGTCTTGAAGGGTACCTAGAGGTAGACAAGATTATAAAATAACTAATATGGAGAGATGGTTAAGAATATTAAATACAGCAAAGACATCCAAAGTGTAAACCGTTTATTCTATATCTCTGAAGACGACAAAGTAGCACAATTATATAAACATTAGAATGGTTGAGAATCTTTTCTTCCTCATTAATATCCTACTGATTCATGTCACTCAATCTCCTAGATAATGAATTATGTAACCAAGAGTTTACAATCACCATATGATATCACAAGGTACCTGGTTTTGAAGTACAGTATAGAAGCCAAGGGCAAAGGCAACGATGAAGAGAAAGAAGACGAGGAAGAATTGGATGAAGGTGTTTAGGATGTCCTTGAACATGACAACGTAGATACCAAACCGTGGGAACTTCTGGAGGAAAAGAACCAGGTCAATCCAGGCTAAAAATACTGCGATGGCTCCCAGGGACCACTGCCAGTCCTGTAGAACAAAAGTAATTACAGATTACTGACAATAAAAATGTTGTATGATGGTCACCACCAGTTACTGTCCCAAAACAACCAAAGAGATGGTGTACAAGAAATAAATTTTACTCACATATCTGAAGCCTGTATCTCTCTGGCATTCCTGGAAGTCGATAACAAGCAGGAGCGCGAACACATAGGTAAGCCACTCGATGAGGTTCTCCCATCCCAGATACTGCAGTTTGGCCTGGTATATCTGTAGCAACTGTCGATGACAAAAAAAAACATTTTTTAATCATCAAAAAGAACTTCATGTCATCAGATACAAGAAAAGCTATCATTAAAGATTAAAGCCCCTAACATACTCCTACAACTGTATCCCAGCACTTGTTGCAGTGATCAAATTATAGCTAGTACATTATGGTATGAACAACCTCCCTTATGTAAAGCAGACATACCAAACTTTCCCAGCAATCACAAACTTTACAAATATTATCACAAACCTAAAGACACCATGTATCTCACAAAGACACCATGTGCCTTACAAATATATCACAAACTAACAAAGACACAATACACCTCACAAAGACACTATGTTCCTCATAAAGAGACACCATGTACCTCACAAAGACACCATGCACCTCACAAAGACACCATGTACCTCACAAAGACACCAAGTACCTCACAAAGACACCATGCACCTCACAAAGACACTATGTACCTCACAAAGACACCATGTACCTCACAAAGACACTATGTACCTCACAAAGACACCAAGTACCTCACAAAGAGACACCATGTACCTCACAAAGACACCATGTACCTCACAAAGACACCATGCACCTCACAAAGACACTATGTACCTCACAAAGACACCATGTTCCTCACAAAGAGAAACCATGTACCTCACAAAGACACCATGTACCTCACAAAGACACCATGTACCTCACAAAGACACTATATACCTCACAAAGACACCATGCACCTCACAAAGACACTATGTACCTCACAAAGAGACACCATGTACCTCACAAAGACACCATGTACCTCACAAAGACACCATGCACCTCACAAAGACACTATGTACCTCACAAAGACACCATGTTCCTCACAAAGAGAAACCATGTACCTCACAAAGACACCATGTACCTCACAAAGACACCATGTACCTCACAAAGACACTATATACCTCACAAAGACACCATGCACCTCACAAAGACACTATGTACCTCACAAAGAGACACCATGTACCTCACAAAGACACCATGTACCTCACAAAGACACCATGCACCTCACAAAGACACTATGTACCTCACAAAGACACCATGTACCTCACAAAGAGACACCATGTACCTCACAAAGACACCATGTACCTCACAAAGACACCATGTACCTCACAAAGACACTATATACCTCACAAAGACACCATGCACCTCACAAAGACACTATGTACCTCACAAAGAGACACCATGTACCTCACAAAGACACCATGTACCTCACAAAGACACCATGCACCTCACAAAGACACTATGTACCTCACAAAGACACCATGTTCCTCACAAAGAGACACCATGTACCTCACAAAGACACCATGTACCTCACAAAGACACCATGTACCTCACAAAGACACCATGTACCTCACAAAGACAATATGCACCTCACAAAGACACTATGTACCTCACAAAGACACCATGTTCCTCACAAAGAGACACCATGTACCTCACAAAGACACCATGTACCTCACAAAGACACCATGTACCTCACAAAGACACCATGTACCTCACAAAGAGACACCATGTACCTCACAAAGACACCATGTACCTCACAAAGACACCAAGTACTTCACAAAGAGACACCATGTACCTCACAAAGACACGATGTACCTCACAAAGACACCATGTACCTCACAAAGATACCAAGTACCTCACAAAGAGACACCATGTACCTCACAAAGACACCATGTACCTCACAAAGACACTATGTACCTCACAAAGACACCATGCACCTCACAAAGACACTATGTACCTCACAAAGACACCATGTACCTCACAAAGACACTATGTACCTCACAAAGACACCATGTGCCTCACAAAGATATCACAAACTTGCAAATACACCACATACCTCACAAAGACATCACAAACTTAACAAAGACATCATGTACCTCACACACAAACACAATCTCATATAAAAACTACTAACATCACAAAGACACACCATACCTCACAAAGACACTATGTACCTCACAAAGACACCACATACCTCACAAAGACATCACCTACCTCATGAAGACATCACAAACTTAACAAAGACACCATGTACCTCACAAAGACACCACCTACCTCACGAAGAAGATTCCATGCTGCTAAAGCTATGATGACATATTTTCCAATTTTAGCAAATATGTGTTGTCGGTGTACCGGAGTCGTGCTGCTAGCCACAAGTTCACAGGAGACATTGCCGGTAGTACTGTAAGTAAACAGACAACTCTTTGATGATCAACTATACTCCATTATACTCTGGTGTTTATAAAGGACAATTTAATTTGACTACTATTAATCTTTTGAACTTCAACGTAACACAAGGACAGCGAACAAAACACTATCAGCACTGCATTGTCCAAGTGCTAAATCTAGCAAAGTGCCCAATCACATAGTAAACAAGTTCAAAAACTAGTTCCCTTGGAATTGTGGGCAATTTTCATTAGAAAAGGTTTGTACTGGTTTGACAGTTTTGTTTTGGTCTTTTCTAAAGATGCATTCGACCAAGCTAAATGTTTTCTTGTCTTGTCTTTTAACTGGATAATTAAACTGGTGATTAATTGCCAGAGATATGTATACGATGGACCGATACACCATAATTAAGCATGTGTTGTGTAAAGGCAATTTTCTACTCGTGTGTATCGACTGATTTCATCAGATAATGTGTCGATGTTTTGACAAAAATTGATTTTGAGACATTGAATGACTTTTTCCTCGCTTTACAATTGAAGGGACTGAAAAAAAGCTTCGACTCAAATGAAATTTTGACTCAATAAATTTGAGTCGTCCGAACTAAAATTACAAAGAAATAGAATGAAAAAATTTTGTGACTAGAAGAAATTATTTCGACTCAAACCAAATTTCAACTTAAGCAATTTCGAGACAAGAAGTTTCAACTGTAGTTCTTGTTTCTTTATAAATATACATCACAAACAAACAACAAGAGCTCCTTTCTTCTGTTGATGGCTAAACACAAGAAGTTCACAAGCTTATTCAGGAGGGGAAGTAACTGTAAACATATGTCAGTATAATTGTATGGAGGGGATATTACTCTAAGAGTCCATCATAAAAATGGGAAACTAATTGTAGAAATCCTTCAGTCTATCATAAAGGAGGGCAATTAACTGTATAAAGCTGAGAGACTATTATAAAGGGGAGGTAACTATGTATCAGTACAAGTACGAGTGGATCATACCTGTAGGTGAATGGAGCATTGCTGGCCAGGATATAGCCAGTCAGGAAGGTTAGGAACACAGCATAAATAGCAAAGTTGATATAGTAGAATACACGACCAAAGCTGTTCCACTTGTGTCGGAGAAGGGAAGTTACCAGTGGATGGGCCAGAAGGTCTTCTCGCTTGGATGTCACCTAGGAAACAGGTATCATGATGAAATTCACATAATGTCACAAACAATATTTATAGTACATACATTTTTAATGATGTGGCATGATAAGATAAGAGGCGTTCCATTTCCAGGATCTCACATCCAGGGATGAGGATGCACCCACAATTCAGCACCATCCTTTTATACACTAAAACGACTTTTCATCTTCAGAAAAGGTTACTATTGCTTTGTTGACACATGGCGGTTACAGCTATTTCCCTACTGAGTTTCACCCCTTAGCAGACAGGAAACACACATTCTATACATTAAAAATTCTCTTTGTGGTAATGAAGGAGAGAGACTTTTAAAGATCAAAAATGAATTTCCTGTACAGAAAGGTTTTCCTGTCCTAGAGAGGCCACTCCTTCCATTTACAGTAGATTCCTTACACCATCCATTCCTTCACCAAATTAAATAAAATCTGTTCATTCATTCTATACAAGAAACACTTCAATGGAAGAACAATTAGACCATCAATGCTGCGTAAACTTACCATTATCATGAGTGGGTGGTTCTTCTTCATCTCACTGGAGTCAGTTGTGTAGGGTTTGGCTGAGGAGGACAGGGTAAAGTCCTCATTGTATACACTCCCTGTAGGGTGAAGGTTACATGTCATTAATACATGTGCCTCAGGGGGTAAAGGTCAAATGTCATCAATGATAAAAATTAGATGTGGTTAATGTCTCAGATGTAAAAATCTGATGTTTTCAGTGTTTTGACAGTAAATGTCTAATGTCACCAACATCTCAGGGATAAAATTTACATGTCGTCAACATGTCAGGGGTAAAGGTCAAATGTCATCACTTTTTCAAAGATAAAGGTCAAATGTAAGAAAAACCCTTGCTGTAGTTTTAATTTTGCCTCATCAGCTAACGAGGCAAAAATTAAAAAAACAGGGTAAAGTTTGGTTTTAGAGCTAAAAATATTTGTTTTTACATTTTTAAAGTGAATATGACATTGAACAAAAATTGTTTTATGCAGGAAAAAAAGAAGTTTTCTATTTGTGATTGGATACAAATGTATTGTTCTCAGATACATTACGAGATTGTTTAACAAGGAATTTTTGACCAAGTCTGTTAATTGTTGTTTATACTTACCATCAGATGATCCACCACTTTCACTCGGTCCAGTCTCCCGCCACGTCGCCAGCGAGTAAACATCGTCCAGAAACTCGTAATTAAATGTGACTTTATAGTCACGGTGTTCGAAACTTTTCTTGTTGTCAGTCATACACTTGTTAAATACAACTTCAGCAACATCTGTGAAATACAACACATACTGATACATCTCTAGTGTAGACAATTAAACAACAATCTGTTACCAAACTGGGCATACAGTGGATATGTGTCTAGTGTAGACAATTAAACAACAATCTGTTACCAAACTGGGCATACAGTGGATATGTGTCTAGTGTAGACAATTAAACAACAATCTGTTACCAAACTGGGCATACAGTGGATATGTGTCTAGTGTAGACAATTAAACAACAATCTGTTACCAAACTGGGCATACAGTGGATATGTGTCTAGTGTAGACAATTAAACAACAATCTGTTACCAAACTGGGCATACAGTGGATATGTGTCTAGTGTAGACAATTAAACAACAATCTGTTACCAAACTGGGTATACAGTGGATATGTGTCTAGTGTAGACAATTAAACAACAATCTGTTACCAAACTGGGCATACAGTGGATATGTGTCTAGTGTAGACAATTAAACAACAATCTGTTACCAAACTGGGCATACAGTGGATATGTGTCTAGTGTAGACAATTAAACAACAATCTGTTACCAAACTGGGCATACAGTGGATATGTGTCTAGTGTAGACAAATAAACAACAATCTGTTACCAAACTGGGCATACAGTGGATATGTGTCTAGTGTAGACAATTAAACAACAATCTGTTACCAAACTGGGCATACAGTGGATATGTGTCTAGTGTAGACAATTAAACAACAATCTGTTACCAAACTGGGCATACAGTGGATATGTGTCTAGTGTAGACAATTAAACAACAATCTGTTACCAAACTGGGCATACAGTGGATATGTGTCTAGTGTAGACAATTAAACAACAATCTGTTACCAAACTGGGCATACAGTGGATATGTGTCTAGTGTAGACAATTAAACAACAATCTGTTACCAAACTGGGCATACAGTGGATATGTGTCTAGTGTAGACAATTAAACAACAATCTGTTACCAAACTGGGCATACAGTGGATATGTGTCTAGTGTAGACAATTAAACAACAATCTGTTACCAAACTGGGCATACAGTGGATATGTGTCTAGTGTAGACAATTAAACAACAATCTGTTACCAAACTGGGTATACAGTGGATATGTGTCTAGTGTAGACAATTAAACAACAATCTGTTACCAAACTGGGCATACAGTGGATATGTGTCTAGTGTAGACAATTAAACAACAATCTGTTACAAAATGGAGCATACAGTGGATATGAAGCTAATCTGAGTGGAAGATAAAAATTCATGGCACCCGTTATTTATATTTCTGTCCTCAATTATCTATAAAAAAAATCAAAACAAAACAAAAACCATGAACACGCTGTTTAAATTTCCCACTTAACCAGACACTGACATCATCAGCAAGTCCTTATCTGAGAACAGTCGTAATAACAAAGTTCCTTGTGTCATCATAAATAACAATTGTATGAAATAGTCATAAATTTGACTTGTTTAATGATATAAAAGTTTAAACTCTCACAATCTTTTTTATAATTACATTATTTTACAAAGTTGACAAACTTTCCAATTAAGTATTTTTTGGCAATAATAATAATTTTGTGGCAAAATTACATGTTTGACAATAAATTTGTTTAATAATAATTTGATACTTTTTTTTAGAATTACTGATTTTTTGTGCGGGTCTTTCTGAAGTCCAACAACTACAGATATGTTAGTACACTGTATATTGACACTATAGTGAAAATGACTGGTGGCCAGTTTTGTTTACCAAAGAGACATCAATTATCAATTTCTAATTCAACCAAATCATTGTAAATGGTAATATGCAGACTCCATACTAGAATTTGGCGTAGTAAGGATCTGTTGGCGAATGCAACACAGAACATTAATATTACGTTTACATCTACAGCCATGATCACTTTTTGGTGGACATTTCACCTAGACGACTGAATGATTGGTGTTCTTTGGTATACTCCCATTTGATTTATATCATGGGAGAGTGGAAATGTTATAATATAAAGATAGTCATATACAGATATCTTGGTTGGAATGATACAAATTACACAGAAATGTTCTGTAATAAACATATGTACTAGATATGGACTGATGTCCAGGCAGAGCTGACAGATGCAGCTACTCACTGGACAGGAACTATCACCAGCACAGTAAGACCATCAGTCAAGCTTAGAACTGATACAGTTGGATCTCTGACATCTACAAGCTGAACTTTACCTTTGAACAGATCTTTGCCTGTAGGAGGAATAATCCTTTCAGCTTTACTTTTTCAATCACATATAAATCACCTCATAACAAAATTGATAAATGAACTTGGGTATACTACAAGGTACTAGGACATACAATCTAAATCACTTCCCTGTAGGGATGAGGTAGATCTCAGTGTATGGTGACATTTCTCCACATACTCATGTAAGGTATGCAGATACTTTAATTCCATATCTCACCTGGCATTTTCTTAATTAGTTTTCTCATTGGTGTGCTCTTCACATCTGTACCAAGCTCTGAAGTCTCATTTCTTAGAGCATCTTCCCACATTTCTGAGTTAATAATGGTTAGAGCCACATCCCTGTAATAGTAATTAAATATACATTGTTAGGGCCACGTCCTTGTAATAGTAATCAAATATACATTGTTAGGGCCACGTCCCTGTAATAGTAATTAAATATACATTGTTAGGGCCATGTCCCTGTAATAGTAATCAAATATACATTGTCAGGGCCTCATCTCTGTTAAGTGATTAAATGTACATTGTCAGAGCCACATCCCTGTAAAGTGATCAAATATACATTGTCAGGGCCACTTCTCTGCAAAGTGATTAAATATACATAGTAAGGGGCACATCTTTATAACTGTGACTTATATACAAGATATACATGATTAGCCAAAGTTAAGTAACCTTGATATCAATGACCCGGAGGGAAGTTTTTGTTAATTAATAATAGTTGAAAACAAAATCACAAGGATATTTGAATTTGAACATTAATCATCACCAGAGAAACATTAGATTAAGATAATTGATCAATCTAAATCTTTGGTTATTAACATGTTTATAAGCAGCGACCCCCCACCCCCACCCCGCCCACTCCCCTCCAATGTTTCTCTCTCAGCCACCTTACCAACGACCTCTACAGACTTCCCAATTAACCCTAATATTAAATCCTGTACATACGGATGATTGTTGTCGATAGCCAAGTCAAGGCAATTGTCACTGTTTGAGTCATTTTGCTGGATATTGGCCTTCCACTGAATCAGCAGTTCCACCACTCCAGAATGTCCATAGCGGGCAGCAAGATGTAGAGGTGTTGTCTGTAACCAACAGTCAATCATGTTGAATTCAATAAGACATTTTAATCACTTTCACCTCAATGATCCAAATATGATGTTAACTTTTTTCATTATTTCATCAAAACTTTGTTACATTTATACTTGACTAGATACCTTGGTTTTGTCCATGGGATTGATTGGGGCATCAGCTTCCAATAAAACTTTACAGGTCTTCACCCAACCTTTGGCAGCTGCCGAGTCTAGTGGTGTCCACAGATTACAGTTTCTGAAGTCATGAATACACAACATTTACTGGAATCAATGCTTACACAATGTCTACAGGACTAAAATCTGAATACATAACATTTACAGGAGTCAATATGAATACACAATGTCTACAGGACTAAAATGTGAATACATAACATTTACAGGAGTCAATATGAATACACAATGTCTACAGGACTAAAATGTGAATACATAACATTTACAGGAGTCAATATGAATACACAATGTCTACAGGACTAAAATGTGAATACATAACATTTACAGGAGTCAATATGAATACACAATGTCTACAGGACTAAAATGTGAATACATCATGCTTACAAAAGGAAAATGTGAATACATGACGTTTAATCTTAAACTGCCTCTTGTATGAAAACAAACAATATTAAGGTACATCCAAGGCTAGATGTATCAGTGACATGAATGCTTCCACTGGTAAACAACGAGATGTAGGAAAATTTAACTGATGGCTTTGTTAAGAAGCATACCCATGAAATAAAACTGAATACCTGTTTTCAAATCTATGGTAGAAAGTCTAGGTAAAATGGAAGTTCTGTCTGCAGATTTTTTTAAAATTCCCAATTGAGTTTGACTCTCCAATATCGGTCGTCCAATTTTTGTGAAAATCTTAGCTAGAGTTATATGGCTTTAGGTGGAAATGAAATTCTAATAAAATGACAGACAAGAGTCCTTTTATTGTCAGAGAGAATCTCATTATGAAAGTGAATATTTTCACATCCACACGATCCAGATTTTGATTCTTTCTTTAAAAGTTGTCTCAAAATTCCCCTCCATCACTCCATCACCCCTAGCTTAAGGACTACTTACCTAGCTGCCACATCAGCTCCATTATCTAACAGTACACCAGCTACTTTAGCATGGCCACACTCTGCTGCCAAGTGTAGTGCTGTGTTTGAGTCCTCATCTTCATCATTCACAGAAGAATGATCTCTCAAAACCAGTTCACGGACAATACTGGATAAAAACAAACATTAATTCTTATAGTTTTCTTCCATAACAACACAAGAGCTCTTTATTTCTATTCTAAAAACATTTGAAATATTAAACAGTTATTTATAATAAGTGTTTTTCAATCACAACAAAATCAAGCACCACCATGAAGTTGGTACCTTGGTATACTGGCCGACTAATTTCACTTCTAGATATGAAGCAATTTTGTTAGTAATCTTATAACTACTATTTTTACTATAAGTACATATACATCACAAAACATAACCTGCTACAATATCTTATACCCACGAATAATTTATATCTACCTATTACACTCAATTAACCATAAAATATTAGTATTGTCTATGAGTATACTTGTGTAATTTTTTGTATACTCGTGTAATTTAATTTTTCGTGTATACATGTAATTTTTTGTGTATACAGGTAATTTTTTGTGTACTCATGTAATTTTTTGTGTATACATGTAATTTTTTGTGTACTCATGTAATTTTTTGTGTACTCGTGTAATTTTTTGTGTATACATTAAATTTTTTGTGTACTCATGTAATTTTTTGTGTATACATGTAATTTTTTTTGTGTATACATGTAATTTTTTGTGTACTCGTGCAATTTTTTGTGTATACATGTAATTTTTTGTGTATACATGTAATTTTTTGTGTACTCGTGTAATTTTTTGTGTACTCATGCATTTTTTTGTGTATACATGTAATTTTTTGTGTACTCGTGTAATTTTTTGTGTACTCATGCATTTTTTTGTGTATACATGTAATTTTTTGTGTATACATGTAAATTTTTGTGTATACATGTAAATTTTTGTGTACTCGTGCAATTTTCCTGATATCTAACATTGTATGTTTTACTGTTATGCTGACCCTTTGGTTGATACCCTCTACCTACCAACTAAAAGTTATCAACTCTTTTACCAATAACAAGAGGCCCATAGGGCCTGTATTGCTCACTTGGACCTTAAAGACCAACAGTGGTATATATGCCTACAGGTTGGGTATTTCAAAGATTTGGGCCAGGTGAGCTAAATATGATATACAGGAGAACTTTTGGGGATAGAAGGTCACTCACTTGGTTCTGCCTGCTTTAGCTGCCAAATGTAAGGGTGTCTGTTCCTCTTCATTCTTGGCATCAACATCCACCTTGTTTTCTAGAAGACACTACACAACACAACACACTGTTAGGGCCACTGTATTCCACATGTCTATAAATTTGGGGCTACACTGTTCAGTATTTCATCACTTTGTTTTAACATGAATGTACATTTAATGCTTGGCCATTTACAACCTAACTTCTCGTTATTTTCATTCAAATATAAATTATATTATCAAAACTTTTGCCATGATTTATTTCAATTTCTTTTGTTGATGTTATACTGCTCTGTGGTTCTAAACTAACTGTTTTTATCTGATCACAAAAACTGTTATAGTAACTTCACCATTACAACATAACACCATTTAGTCTTCTTCTGATCACTGTATAAATATTACCATATTCAACCTAATAATTGTGTTTGATTTGGTTTCTAACCACTGAACATATTCAACTTGAAACATTTTTTCTTGGGAATGAGGATATATGTACTAATGCCAGTTCATGAAAATTTTGCTTACTTCACAGATCCTACATACACAACATTAAAAGACATTTAACTCCTAGCTTCTCATAGACCCAAGAGCAAGTCTCAAATAAATGTGGCTGAAACTTATGTTGTTATATTTTAATTCAAACTGGGTTTTTTTCTACCAATATGAGTATCTGCACATTTGACATGGAAACTTTCCCACATGAATAGTTTTATTTAGCACACTCACTATGTGTTTACGTAAGAGCAAATGTATAGAGTGCTGTATAGGTTGACATGGTAACTAAATGTAAATCCTTACCTTGACAATACTGAGGTAGCCTTTCTCTGCGGCAATATGAAGTGGCGTGTTATCATACCTATCTCCCACATTCACCAGTCTTCGTACACGTCCAACAGCCAGGAGAGCCTACAAGTATTAACATGCTCTGCTAACAGTACTTAAAATATCTTACTGAGCCTGCAAGTATTAACATGCTCTGCTAGCAGTACTTAAAATATCTTACTGAGCCTGCAAGTATTATCAAACTCTGCTAGCAGTACTTAAAATATCTTACTGAGCCTGCAAGTATTATCAAACTCTGCTAGCAGTACTTAAAATATCTTACTGAGCCTACAAGTATTATCAAACTCTGCCAGCAGTACTTATAATATTGGACTAAGATTTAATGGAATCATTCTTCACAGCGTTTAAATAAATTGAGAAATTGATATTATAACTTTTCAAATTAAGAAAGGGTTATAATACGAAGCCTAAGATCCCTAAGAGATCTTGGTGCCCACCTGTGATCTTGTTCTAATGAAATAATGACAATAATTATTGACTGCCAAATCAAAGCTGGTAGCCTGTAAGCAATTTCTTGTTTTCCAATCAAACACGCACAATTAGGAATCAAGAAGAATATGCATATGAAATTTGAGAAAGATCTATCCAGTGTTTTTCACAAAGTAGCAAAAACCAACTTTGATTGTCAAAATCAAAGATGTCTGGTTGTTGGCTATTTTGTTATTCTGATCATTCTCAAATCAAACAGGCAAAAACTAAGGATCAAAAGGACCTAATCATATCTGAGAAAGATCCATCTGGTATTTCTCAAGAAAGTGGCCACCTACTGACAGTTTTTGGGTTTTTGTATTCCTGTATCTGGTATTTTTCAAGAAAAAGTGAAAACAAACTCGCAAAGTCAAAATCCAAACTGGCCACCTACTGGGAATTTTGGGGTGTTTCGTCAGTTCTAAAATCAAATGGGTACAACTAGAAACCATGGCGAACTTACACAAGATATTTGGGAGAGATCCATCCAGTACTTCTCAAGAAAAAGCGATAACAAGCATTATTAATAGATTATTGAATTACCAATCATCTGATGATGGTAGGCTAAAACTCATACTTAAATTGTCCAGCTGGATATCATATTTTAACTTATTGTTCAAGTGTCTAGCTGGACATCATACTCTATAGTCTAGCTGGATACCATACCTTGAGGGCATCCAAGTTGTCCTCCTCTGAAGCTAAGAAAATTGCGGTTTTGTCATTCTTTTCCACAGCCTCATAGTCAACACGCTTTCTAAGTAAATGTTTGATGATGTCTGCGTGACCGTAAGCTGAAGCCATGAGCAGTGGAGTGTAGTTGTCCTTGTCTTTCTTCTCCAGATTGGCCCCTCTATGTGTGGAAACAAAGTTAATTATAGACAAATATAGATCTGTACAGGGAGATAACTCCTATCAGTTATTAGAACTGATCATCATCCAAGTCTAGGATACATCAGTACCCTGGAAAACCTTTAAATCATGTATCACAATGTGATACTTCTTTCTGGTAAATCCGAGCCTAGATGCTTCAAAAAGTCCTAATGAAACTTTAACTATAAACCAGAAACTTTCTCCAAGACCTGAATACTATGGGGTATATATAAACCTTATCTGTTTAGAGGTTCTAAAGATAAAACATAAATTTGAAATGGGGACACAAAAGGCTATTCTGACATGTGTAACAATAGGTGTCCCCATGAAGTAATCAAATCATTGACAGACTTGGTCTCAAGTCTCAGATGAGACAGGAAAATCTTGTACAGTCAAAATGGCAGACATCTCTGTGGAGGGTAGCAGAAAACTGCCCCCCAAATCAATGACTTGATAGTTACACCACAGAAAATACATAACAAGTCTTGATGTGAAAAAGACTCACCTCTCTATTAGGTACTCGACTACCTCCAGGTGGTTGAAAGCACATGCAATGTGAAGGGGAGTGGCCTGTTCATCATTGAGGGCGTCTATCCGAGCGTGATGCTCCACCAACAGTTTAACACACTTAATGTCACCAGCCTTTGATGCCAGATGGATGGGGTTCATGTAGTGAGATGCAGGTGTGTTCACATCTGCTCGTTTCTCCAGACAGAGTTTGACCACATCATAGTGACCATTCTCCACGGCCATATGTAGACAGGTGCTCTGGTCGCAGTCTCTGTCAGTCACCATCTACAGACAGACATCTACATTTTATACAGGATTTTCTGTTAAATTTTCCAAGTTATTACTTTTTTTCAAATCACTTGGTAACACTATAGATACAACATCAGTGAAGGTCTTCAAAAATATTTTTGTTCAGTGATATTTAATATAGAACAAAACTTACATTAGAGATGGTAACCCAGCCATCCTGCCGAGTTCCTGCTTCGAAAAGAAGTTTAACAATATCAATATTTCCCTCGCTACAGCAGCAGTGGAGAGGGGTGGAGTCTTCATCGTCCTGACAACGAAGGGGTGCCCCAGCATCAATCAGTAGCTTGGTGATCTCCACCTGATTGTGGGTGGCAGCCATGTGGAGAGCTGTCATCTTCTGCATGTCCACAGCCTGTAAAATATATCTCTCTTCATGCAATATGATTATACTAAATTATCTTTTATGATAAAAAATGGTATCAGTGTTATGACAGAAGAATGGTTGAATCATTAATACTGTAAACTGGAAAAATTTTATTGGGGCTAAAATTTCATGGCTTTCCTATAAAATAAAGATCTGATTTTGTGGATAAATAGCAGTAAAAAAATCCACAAGTGCTATACAATTACAATATATTTATCATTTCAGGGACACATGAATGAGTTGATTAAGAGTACCGAGGAATCAAGATTAGTAATTTTACAATATTTCTCACCTCAATATCAATATCCTTGTAAGACATGAGCTCCTTAGCAGCAAACTCATTGCCTCGCATGGCTGCATAGTGAAGAGGTGTCTGGCCATATTTATCACGCATGTTGATGTTGGCACCATTTTGTACAAGATAGTTGATAACACTGTTTTCAGCCTGGGTACTATCATCCTGGGCAGAGTTGTCTGGTATCTCTGGGCCCTATACAATAAAGTATGTATGTACTACAGGACCCTGACACTACAGATTATTTCTCAACCTGGACAGCTCTGAGAATTTACTTTCAATGCTATAATAAAACAACTGCTTTCCCTCTACTTCTGACATAAAACTACGCAATAGATACAATTTAACAATCATATGACCTGTAAAATTAATATATTTCTAATAGTTTGTATCAACATACATCATCCTCATCATCTGTGTCAGTGGTCTTCTGTCTCTGGCGGCGGTACCGTGCAGCATAGTGAAGGGGTGTCAGGTCCTCCGAGTCTCTGATGTTAGGATCTGAGAGAGAAATATTACATTTATAAAGGAATTCTTGATATGAGGTGACATGTACTGTAGAAACAGAGAATGTGTGTTGAAACACGAGACAAAACAGGAGTGATTAGCAATATAAGATAAATTTGATTAAATGTTGACCCTTTCAGCCTTGTTCAAGCTGGTCGTGACCAGATATTTCAGTCTGAAAGGATGACGCTACTGGTTTTGTTGTTTATTTGTTTACTGCCATTTAAATATTTAAAATTGATGACAGAAGATTCAATTGATCCCTACCTGCCCCATTGTCAACGAGCAGTTTAGCTACAGCCTTGTGATTGTAACGAGCAGCATAATGCAGAGGTGTGATTCTGTCCTCATCTCGTACATTGATTTTCTTATAGATATTCTTGGCTGAGGACTTGATTTGACCAATCAGAATCTGTGTACTTCTCACATCTCCATTTCTGGCACACTGAAACACGAAATAATGTGAAGAATATGCATGTGACACTTATTGATTACAGATGGGGGAAAGATATGTGTAATGACCCAGTAGAAATCCTTACCAGTAAATCTAACTAGAGCTTTGGTCACATATTGATAATTACATGGTACATGTAGATCCTTTATCAGGTGTAACTCATCGGCGTGAAGACTTTGGTGTCAGACGCTCTATGTGCATCTACACTTATCAATAAAATAATTTTCAGTAGGACTTCAAACAAAACAAAAGGTGGTCTGGTGGTGCAGTGGTAATGCAGTCGCTTTTCACCTTGCTGTCCTGATTTTGATTCCCGAGACGGATGAAAAGGTAGGTGGTCACCTATCACATTACATGGGTTTTCCATGGATACGCCAGTTTTCTCCCACAGTAAGACCAATTGTGCACTTAAATTCAGGCCATCAAGAGTGATAAGTATAAGTTGCAATAACTTGTTTTGCAATTGTTGTAAAAAAAATAGTTTATATTTTAATAAAATACATGTTTACATAAGCAATATGTATACCTGATGTAGGGTAAAATTGAGTAATTCAGCACTTTCTGAACGTTTCACATGAGGTATTGGTTCTTCCTGTCCGCCATTGGCAGCTGGATTCGAGAGGAGGCCTGTCATCTCAACCACTCCCTTGTCAGTGTTGGAAGTGGGTTCAACACTTAACAAGGTCCGGTACTGACCGGCTTCACCGTTGTTGGGGTCCATCCCTGGGTGGGGCTCGACTGCCGTCAGTGTGAGGGCAGTGTAATGATGTTTAGGCCTAGTAGTCAGATTTACTGGATACTGTTGTCAGTTGTGATGAGGACTTCTAAAAATTTCCATCAAAAACAGTGTGATTACATTGGCATTTTTTACTCTCGTGTCTATAAATAGCAAAGCTGAACCGAATCTAGCTAACGTGACCCTAACAAAATTGCAACACTTCCTGGTAAAATTGTAAAAAATAGAAATTATGAAAGTATTCTACCGAGTGTTTGAATTGCCTTTTTCTTCTAGATATTTCACGAATACATTCCTTCAGCCTTTGGGTAGCGTCACGTTACAGACCTTGGCCTGTAGCTTTACTGAGGATAACAACTTCATTCACTACTATCCGTCAAAACGGGCGATCAGTATCTAAGTGAAATAAATCGTTGTTTTCTTTAAAACAATTAGAAATCGTATGTTTGTCAGTTCCGTTTACTTATAGGCATGAAATAACACTCGTCAGTTAATCAGAGATGAAGGATTTCAGGGTGACAGAAAATCTGTCACACACGACTTGTTTGTTTATTTGTTTACAATTCAGTTAGTGGTGGAAATTTATATTTAACCCACTTGTCTATAACATGTAGTCAATTTTTTTTATAAAATTACTGGTCCGACCATAAAATTGCTGCCTCGTTCAGTGGTTAACCTAACTGACTTATACTTACAGTATACGGGTGGTGAGCCTCCACACCCAGTTGGTGCAGGGTAATATTTCTTTCGGCAGGGTCTCGTAGTACGTCACGTGACTTTTCAATGAGGGGAGGTAAGTACAAAAGTATTTCGTAATATCCACTACAAGCATTACGAGGTCAGGTTTTCGCAACACTGTTACTGATTTATGTATTTCACAATAATCTAAAAAAGTGACTTTTGATGAAATGGTTTTAAGCGAATGTTCGTGTGAAAAGTAGTCAAAAATAAAGAAGATAGGTAATGTTTTATTATTATTATTCCATTTAAAAACCTCCGATTCACTACAGAATGTACATTTTTTCATCACAGATATTTCCACCATCCGGTTACTAATATCGTTCGTTAGTTTAGCTTATAGATCCTGCATCCAATGAACTGTATGAAAACAAACGTTTTCTGATACTTTATTTTCAACAAATTCAACCTTCTGTAAAGGTAGACATGCCATTCCTCTGTTCAAATTGTTTTTTTTTAATCAAAAATGACATGTGTCAGAACGAATCGTGCTATAATGCTAGTTTTTTTGGAAGTAAGTGAAGGTCCCATTCAAATACAGTCCCCTACATACCGTATGACGCCGGGACAGACGGACGGTCAGATGAACCGACGGACAAACAGTCCTTTAAAAGGCTTATAAAACAGCAGTGTTGCTGATGAGAGTCTTTACAATGATATATAATGAAAAATATTGATATATCGTTTTGTAGATAAAAATTCCGAAATCTATGCCTCTGTTCACTAAATTTAACATTTCTTTGTTACAAATTTATAATTTTTATAACTTTTAGATGAAACTTAGATGTGTCGTTTTTTAGTTGAAACTTACACATGAATCTCCTTCATAGTCTTACCAAATTTTTAACAAAACGATTATTTTGACAACTTCAGTGTGAAATAAAAGCAATATTGCGAAAAAAAATCTCCAAATGTATGTCTCTTGTTATCAAGTATAGTAACTTTCCAACACATTGATATTACTTTGACAAACATTAATAAATAAAAAACTAGTTGTGTCACTTTTTAGGTGAAAATGTCACATAATTTCAGTTCACGGAAATTTAAGTCCCATCGCTATACAGGTAAACATGACATCAATGTACGTGTATCGAGGAGTCATTAAGACGGACTGCTGTTTATATATACTACATAGTTATATTGTTTTCTTATCAAAGTACATTTAAATTTATATATATATACTGCAATTTCAAAGACATGTGTACAGTTTACAACTGACATTTGTAACCAATGGTGCGAATATATACCGGCCGATTCACTTACAGTAATAAAACAATGGTGACGAATCATGTGAACATTGTTTAAGAAGTGTACAATGTATATACTATGCTGACGTTGATACTTACATGTACACTCATTTTAATGAGAAGTGTACGATGTATATACTATGTTGACGTTGATACTTACATGTACAATCATTTTAACGAGAAGTGTACAATGTATATACTATGTTGACGTTGATACTTACATGTACAATCATGTTAACGAGAAGTGTACGATGCATAACAAAGACATTCATTCTTGATTTCGTTTTATCTTGGTTCAGAATGTCTTCATATACTTTCTGAAATTTTAAAAAGGTAGGATGAGACGTCTATGATACAATAACAGATATAAGGGCTATTCGATTAGATTTTCGATGTCGTTTTACTGTTTTCGGGGATACAATTATCAAATGGGTTTGAGGACGATAATAATTTTGTTAGCATTGATTTACTTTAGGAGATTCTAATATTCATTATTAAAAATGTCTAGAGCAAGACATATAGACATCTATTTTAGGGTCCATAACCATTTAACTAACCCTAAATTTACTTTGGTATTAAGGTTAGTGTGAGGTTGAGGGTTAGGTTAATTTTCAAGTATTGATAGAATCCCCTACTTATTTCGTCATTCCCGAAGCAATAACTATTGCACGACAAATAAAAGTTATTCGAAATCGAAATACAACAATGCAATTCTTCAGAAGTAACAAAGTTGTGTATACGTAATGATTATTAAAAGAAAATCAATTCATCCAACAACTATTTCAACATTTGTACTTGCATATTTAATCCACACCGTCATTCTAAGTATCATGAAGCAATTAAAAAGCTTGAAAACGTGGATAATGAAAAATAGTTATACTGACGGAGCACAGGGTACGTTACCGTCGTATGTGTTTTAAATTGTAAACGTCTCATTAACATGTTTACGGAACGTCTCATAACATATAAGTCTTGAGAGTAAACATGTTAGTCACATGTAAACGATTTAGTTCACACCAAGAGCTCCATGGGGCCTGTATCGATCACATGCCCCCCTTGGCACTGAATTTATACAAATTGGTCAATTCAACAAAATTTTAATTATGCTCAGCGATGACTAGTAAAGTTAGCATATATACTACATTTAATCTATATGGTCCTGATATAGATCACTGGCGGAGCTTCTTATTTGATGATTTTGTTTTTCTTCTGTATTTTACTTCAGATAAAATGGATGCTGCAGACAGAAGCTTCGAAATAGAGGCTTTAAATGAATCTCTAGAAGTGGAGGCCGATTCCTACTCATGTGACACTTGTGCACTTGAATTTTTCTGAAATGGAAAAAAAACAAACAAATAGCTTGAATTCATCAATACAATAACCGTTTCCTATCATGATGTTACTTATTGTGGTTTGCGATATTTTCAATAGGCCCTATAAACATAAAATGGTACACATTCCAATTGCGCGTACTACACATGAACGGTACAGTCGTTTCTACATTCATCAACAATGACGGTACAGTGGTTCAGCAACGAACGATACTGTCGTTTCTACATTTATCAACAATGACGGTACAGTGGTTCAGCAACGAACGGTACAGTCGTTTCTACATTCATCAACAATGACGGTACAGTGGTTCAGCAACGAACGATACTGTCGTTTCTACATTTATCAACAATGACGGTACAGTGATTCAGCAACGAACGATACTGTCGTTCACGTCTGACATGCGTGAGAAAAAGTGCTCAAACTAAATATTTACAACTTCCTGAAGAAAATGCTTCAGTCTGCCAATGCAGGAATGTTCATCCTACATCGGACATTGTTCAACTGATTAATGTTGGCTTTAGATGTATAGGAAGAAACGTTTGAATTTTAAGTAAGCTCGATCTTTCTAGTAAAAGCAATGGTTTTGGCAATATTTTTGTTAAGTTATTACAACATGAAACAGAAATAAAATTCTTCACTTGGCCATACTAACTGGTATAAATATACGAATGTACTCTAAGCTTTACATGCTAAACTGAGCTTTAATATGAGAGAGCTTACCTTTTTCTCCCGAAATTTCCCCAGTGGACGCCATTGCGACGAACTGATGCCGCCTTACAGTTGTCACACTTCCGATGTACGCGACTGTACGGTTAGATACAGTGTAGAACATCTTCTCATTCGAAATTTATATCTTACCCCACTTAAATAGTAAAGTGCACACGTACTTGTATATATACATAGATGACTATATAGAGAGATACTGAGTAACTCCAGTAAAATCTTCTAAATTGACAATTCAGTATATACCATGGATATTTATATCGCGTAGTGAACGCATAGTAATTATTTTCTCACAATATTGCCATCATCTGTGCACAGCTCATATTTGAGACGTTTGTCTACGCCACCCCAAAATGGCCCATGTACCAGTTGGCTCGTCATCATTAAGTTTACCGGTGTCCTAGATGTAGATACTAATTGCTATATGCGCCCCAAGGCACTTGACGGTCTCACCTCGGCGGCAGGCGGTTTTTACTTCCCCGCTCCCCATCCGTCCTATTTGAAATAACGGCCAATTATAAATTTATTATTGAATGGGGTGTTACATGTGGCAGAGACATATATATATATAACGTCTCTGCATGTGTTGATTTCCCAATTTCATTATTGCTACATTGTTTCAATCATTGAAGTAAACAACGGATTATCGAGCGTGACCTTTTCCTTCCCAACCCGGCCAACATGATAAAACAGAGACATTTTGGTCTCAGATTCAAAATTACAAACCTGCATTTTGCCCAGGGACATATTACAGAGAAAAGTGGATGTTTTTTGGTGGTGTTGGTTTTTGTATCTGCTCATTGAGCCGTGAAAGCCTTCAATTTGTTAGTTACCTGTGCCCCGTTCACTACAAAATATATGCTGTCTTTGCGCTGACCGGCTTGACCAGAACCAAGGGAATTTCATTTTCGTAACAAAAATAATACTGATAAATGAAAATGACGA